AAGCTTGCCTGAGGGTTTCTGTTTCTGTTCTACTTTTCATTAAGACTGGAATCAAGCTTACATGTAAACTATTGGTAATTTAAGTTTCTTTTGTGTCATTTTTGTGTAAAACTGTCTAATTTGAAAAAAATGTAGGTTATGAAAAATAAAGATTTAGGAACTGTTCAAAACAATAAAAAAATAAAATTCAAAGTCATCTATACAAATTCAACACCATCCACATCAAACTTCCAACAATATTCTTAAGAGAAGTTGAATTACTTTCATTATTTGAAAGCATTTTCCAAACTTTAAGATCTTAGGTTAAGTAATACTAAGCAGTATTGATTAATTCCTACTATTGGAGATAATTGCTCTGTAGTCTTGTCAAACAATGTTTTATGTTGATGAGTCTTCACTACATGGCCAGAGCTTAGGAATCTCCTGATCTAGTTTAAGATTTGAGAAAAGATTGGCTAATTATTCTTTGGTAATAAGTCTTTCCTTTGCAAATAATATTTAGCTGTTTTGTTGTTGTCGTTGTTGTAGTTTTTGGCTTTGTTGTTTTACTCTTCAATCGTACAGACCAGAATTCCACTGACATTTAATGATGTAAATTATTGACATTGTCTGCCCCTAGATCATTGGCAGGGTGGCTGTTGTGTCTCATGTGCCTCAGTAGGTGGCAGAGAAGAGTAGCTTACACGTGTAAGCTCAGTGTGGTGGTCTGAGAACATCTGAACAATGAAGAGTATAACACAGGACTGAAGGAGATGAAGGGGTTCTCAACTCCATAGGAAGAACAAGAATATTAATCAAACACAACACACACACACACACACACACACACACTGAGCTCCCAGGGACTAAAGCACCACCAAAATGTACACATGGAAGGATTCATGACTCCAGCCTCATATGTAGCAGAAGATGCACTTGTGGGATTTCAAAAGGAGTGGCCTTTGGTCCCTTGAAGGCTCGATGCCCCAGTGTAGGGGAGTGGCAGGAAGGGTAGGCTGGAGTGGGTGGGAAGGTGGGAAAACCCTCATAGAATCAGGTGAAGGACAGATAGTATATGGGGATTTTGTGGTGGGTGGGAAAACTGGAATGGGGATAATATTTGAAATGTAAATTAAGAAATTATCTAAGAGGGAAAAAAGAATGTAAAGCATCCTGTAAATGAAATCCCGAAATGACCTTGTTCTGTGTAGGGCTTGATTGGAATCAGTGGTGGGAAGCAAGCTGCAGACAAGAAAACCTGCCTGTTACAATGTACCATGGTTAGAAATGAGCCTTAGACAAAAATCTTCTGAATGGTGCAATGTAGGCAGGTGCAGACAAGGAGAAATCGGGAGACAACCATCAGTCCAGAGCCAGGCAGCCCAGACAGAGTTCTAGCCTGAGATGCTCATCAGTCTGGCTGAAGATCCAGCAACAACCGCAAGGGGGCCCCAGCTGAAGAGGAGGACCAGAGAGCTGACACTATTACTGTGGCTATAGAGTGCTCACTAAAATGGGTCTATCATGACTGCCTTCCGAAAGACCAGACAAGCACCTGGAAGTCTCAGTTGCAGATATTTACACTCAACCAGCAACCAGAAGCTGCTGACCCCTGTAGCTGACTTAGTGAAAAGCTGGAAGAAGCTGAGGAGTAGGGTAACCTTGTAGGAGGACCAGCAGTGTCAAATAACCTGGACCCCAGAGATCTCTCAGACACTGGATCACCAATCGGCCAGTATAAACAAGCTGATGCAAGGCCCCCAAAGCATATACAGAATGTGGACTCCCAGGTCTGGATTCAGTCAGAGAAGGTGCTCCTAACCCTCAAAAGACTCCAAAGAATGGGGAGGATTGGGGGAGTAGGGGTTTATTAGGGAGGTTGTGGACATTTTCGGGGAGAGAGATGGGGAGCAGAACAGTATGTTAAACCATCAGAGGGTGAACATGGAGAGGGATAAAAAATGGAGTGCAAAAGGACGGTTAAATAAAATTAAAATAAGAGTCAATAGTTACAGATCAACTTTTTATTCATAAGAAATCAATTTTACAAAACAAATTTTAATATGAAGGTTAATATAAACTTTGTAAATAATTAGCAAAATCTAAATCAATAACAAGAACATGTAATATCTCAATAACATAAGAAAAAACAAAACCATGCAAAAGAAAATTTGAACGAAAACTCTAACAGAAAAAATTGTGAAGTGACATTCCCTCACTGCACATTTAGCAGCACAGCCTACAGCCAGTTTCTCCTCTTGAGCACTTGCTGGTACTGCAGTCACCTCAGTTCTCACACAAGGGTTACAGAGGAAAGAGAAAAAGACCCTGAATCAGCCTGGATGTTTCACTGGCTACATAGTTTGGGCCCATTCACACTGTGGAAATGATCTATGAGGAAGGAGATTCATCCAAAGAAGTCTGTGGCTGTTGAGGAGAGAGCTCAGCAGGGGGCTCCTGAGGTGACAACTCATTCTGCAGGAGGCTCTCCTGCTGGGATGTGGCCAATTCCAGCTCTCTTGCAGCTTCTGAGACCTGGGAGAGGAAGGCAGTTATTAAGACACAGCCTTGGTGGGGACATGCATGTCAGATGTCAGCTGCTGCCTCCCACCACCTCAACTAGACTTCAACATTGATCTTTTAACTGAAACCCTTGCTTCTAAATCTGCAAGCAGGGCAAAATATCAAGCAAAGCTCACAAACACATGGGCTGACAAGCTGCCACTCAAGACTTCTATCAGTGCAAACCAAGACCTGGCCAATGGGAAGAGACCTCATTGGGCTGCAGGAGAAAGGAGAAGTCCACATGCCACCCAGACCACAGACAGCGAGAAACACTCATTTGACATTTGAGTTAGGTTTTACTCCCTGGAAGGTGATGCCTACCTGGGAGTTCACATGCCCCCTGCACAACTCTTGTCACAAGACATAGAACTTTCTCAAAGCTCTGCTTAGCAACCCACCTATCATGAGGACATGCAAGAGTGTGACCTGTCATTCATCTGTTACCCTTTCTAGACTGCAGCTTCAAGCAGAGTAGCAAGGTACACTTGCCAATAATTCAGTGTCTCCCAAGATTTGAAGTTCCCAGAATACTTGTGCATAGACAAAGTAATGAACAACTATATTCCATGAAGTGGGTGGCTGGTTGGGAGTGTGGATTTAAAAGATGGTGGATGAATGCAAAGATGGATCCAATAGGCAAATGATAACAGACAGTGTTAGTCTGAATAAGCTGCTTGTCCCTACCTGATGTTGCTGTTCCTGGAGGTTGTTGGTCTTCTCCTGTTCATCTTCAACAGTCAGGTTCATCTCAGTCAAGTACTGTTGGAGGAGGTACCAATCAGCCTTCACTTCCTTGTAATCCTGCTTCACTTGGACCAATGACTTCTTTACAACAAAGGACTGCAACAGGAGCCAACTGTGCAGGTTTCTGGAAACACACTCTGCATATTAAGATCCTGCAGACTCCTCCTGATATTCCTACCTATAGGTGCCATTACCCCATCAGATCCATGTTCCCATGAAGACCTAGAGCAATACATTTCAGTATATGCATGACAGCTGCACAAACAGCAAACAGCCAATGCAGGTAAGAACTAATCATGTCTGCAGCCCAAAGTCAAATAAGGTTCCTTGTATCTCCAAAAGAAAGAGGTATCTCCATCTATATGCCTCTCCCAAAGAAAGGGGTATCTCCATGATAGGCCAGTGTATTGCAGAGCCCAAGACGTCCAGGACTGCAAAAGAACACTCTCATTTTGTAGTCTTGGAGGCTCCTCAGGATGGCTGGACAACCCTGAGAGGGCTAACTTTCTCTTACAGATTGAAGAAACCTGAGTCCAAAAGGCCCAATATACACTGATGGTTAAGAAGCCGAGGTGAAAGACGAGACCTGCAGATTCTCCATTCCAGAATCAAAGAATGCAGGGATGGCCATTGCACAAGAGGTAGCCTCCATGACCTGTACTTACCTATAGAAGTTATTCTCCTTCTTGTGCTCCTGGATGTTCTCACAGGAGTCAATGTTCTCGGTCTCTAATTTGTTCAGGAATGACATGACCATCTTCTCATTTAACTTCAATTTTTCATACAGTGGATTTGGCCTGTGATAGGGTCTGGCCCCAGGAAGACAGAACTCCATGAACATGGCTTTTAGTAACACGTGAACTCAGGCTGGTTCCTGTCCTACCCCAATCCTGGAAGGCCAATTTCTTCCTTCTACATACTCACATGTTCTCCAGCTTTGGAAACGTGTTCCTGGACAGCAGAAGTTTGGCATCCAGATGGAGGGTACCCTGGCTCCCTGTGTTCACTCAGCTGGCCTGAACTAGAGGTCTAGTAGCTTATCCTCTAAAGAGACTGGGCTACAGGTCCTTGACCACCAGAAACTTGTGATTATCTATTTCCTACATTCAAAACAGGGTCTTTAAATCCTGGATAACTAATAGTGTAGAGACATTCATTACACATAATTCTGGAGATGAGACCAGACCTCAACACAGTTTTCTAGTCTGCCAAAGAGATACAAATGTAGAGACACATGGCACCACACGGACAATGAACAGTGCTGTATACAGTAGGGGCTCCCAGACCTCAGGACTCACATCAACTTTTAACTGTTATACAGGTAAATCCACAGGGAAAAACACACAACCCTAGTTCCCAAAGAGTGGAAGGAAATATATAACGACTATATGTCTGCGGATCCATATGCATGTGTACACACACAAGCACAAAAACAAGGAAAAGGAAAAGGAAACAGAATCAGAGAATGAGAAAAAGAGAGACACAGCATTGGAGAGAGAACAATCAGAATAAGAAGAAATTCATTCAGCATTACTGACTCAGAGTATAAGGCACACAGACAAATAGGAACAGGCATAAGCTTCAGGCCTTCTAGTCAAGCACTGAGATGAACAGTGTGGGACCAGCTGCTGCTAGGACCTTCCAGCCCTCAATTAAGAGCCAGGTAAGTACAAAGCTTCACCACAAACTCACTTTATCTGTCGAGGACATTCCAAATGCATGCTGGGCATTCACTAGCCACTGCCTCCATCCAGAATTCTTTACTCAGACCACAAGTTCAACATTTTAATTGGAGGAAGCAAATGAATCCTTTCTTGATCCCGATGAAGCTTCAGGTTCAGCCTCTCCTCTAAATAGCACTTAGGGACATAAAGTTGGGCACAGGGACTCTGTGGAGGTACTGCTTCCCAGAACTCACAATCTTAAAAGGATAAGATGAGGGTGACATTGCAGATGTCAGACTGACACCAAAGGGTTTGGAGCAATGAGTAACTCTTGTTCATGGATCCCTCTGTGACATAGATCAAGCGGTCTCTCAGCTCCTTTCTCTCCTAGGTACTGAGCTCCAGCTCTTTGGTCAGACTCTTTGCCTCCTTCTTGGCCTCTTTCTTGCTTAAGACATTTGCAGGGCATGATGACTGCCTGCCAGCCACTGTAGGCAGAAGAACATAAGTAAATTGCCCCCAAGAGAATGCAGACAGTCCTGGGAGAACACCCTCACGTCTAAGAGAAGGAGAGCATGTCTAGAAACCGGTGACATCACAAACAGTCTGGTCCAGGCATTAGATGTCTCCTAAGTGAATCTCAGCTCTCCCATCAGTCTATAGAGACCAGGAGATGAAAGCACCCAGGTGTTTCCTCTGTCTCCCTACACATGCTCATGATGACCACAGAGATAGCTTCTCCACCATTATTGTCAGTTTTACAAGGTGCAACTTGGCTTTAGATCCCT